CTCTGTCTCTGGTGAAGCCTCTCACCGTCCCTGAGCCTCTGGCCTGTACCCCAGTTCTGTATGCACAAATAAATAAATCTTTAAAAAAAAAAAAAGTAGATGACGGTGGAGATGGGGGAAAAAAGGAGGGGGAGGAAAAAAATGTACAAAATGATGTAAAAATAAACTGTTATAAAATAAAATAATAAAAAAATTAAAAAAAAAAGTAGATGACAGCAAAGTAAAGTATTTTTTTCAAATTGCCAGATCCATGTGTGGGGCATGAAATTTGGCAGGTGTGAATAGTGTCTAAATAAGTTAAATAAAAACACAGACCAGAATTTACCATAATGCTCTGCATCTAGAAAATGGTTAAGTACTTCTCCGTGAAATTTCTGCTTTGTGTTTATTTATATTATAAAGAAAAACAGAATTCTTGCTGCCAAGAGTGGTCAAGAAAGTTTGCAAATCGCTGGCCTGAAGGCTAAGAATGTATACTGCTTCACCTACTGACCAAGTTCCATACTCTGGATCCACTCAGCTTCAGGGTCTGCATGAGGCTAGATTAACTGCTCTCCCTCAAACATGTGCCAGAAGTCTAGACTTGTGTTTTTTTTTTTAATTAAATAATATATTTTTTTACCATTCTTCATTTTGTGCTTTTTTCATCTCACTTGTAATCCCCATGGGCTTTTCACTACCAATTCACTCTTGCCATCACCACAGTACAGTGCACTCTTCCCACCCTAGTTTTGATCCCATTCCCCTTTCCACCCCCATAAAATGGCTATGGTTTATAGTTCACTGTTTTCATTTTTATTCTATGACATTTGTTTCTGTCCCCTCCTCCCCCAATCCCTTATGCTCCTGCTATGATGAAGCCATCGGTATTTTTCTTTTCCTTTCTGGCTTATTTCACTAAGCATGATTCCTTTCAGCTCCACCCATGTTGCCGCAAAAGGCATGAGTCTATCTTTTTGATCGCTGAATAATATTCCACTGTATATATGTACCACATCTTTTTAATCTAGTCATCTATTTTTGGGCATTTGGGTTGTTTTTCAACATCTTCCCTACTGTAAATAATGCAGCAATAAACATGGGGGTGCAGGTGTCCTTTTAAATCAATGTTGTTGTGTCCTTTGGATAGATACCTAGGAGTGGGATTGCTAGAGCATATGGAAACTCCATTTTTAGCAGTTTGAGAACCTCCAAACAGTTTGCATTCCTATTGTGGTTGTACTAGTTTGCATTCCCACCCACAATGTAGGAGAGTTCCGTTTTCTCCACATCCTCGCCAGCATTTGTTGTTGCTAGTTGCAGCTAATTTTTTGACAAAGGAGCAAGGAATATACAATGGAACAAAGAAAGCTTGTTCAACAAATAGTGCTAGGGACACTGGGCTGCTGCATGCAAAAAAAATGAAGCTAGACTACTACCTTGCACCATGCACAAAACCAACTTGAAATGGATTAAAGAACTAGATATAAGACCCAACACCATAAAATAGCTAGACTTGGTTTTAATTCCATCTCTGCCATCCACCCACTATGTGTCAGCTCAATGTGCCTTTACATTTTACCCTTCAAAACAATGTTATCAGAGAGTACAATTACTGCCTTTCCCCACATGTACTGAGAACTAAGCATGCAGATAAAATACATTGTCCTAAGTCAGTGAAGTGCTCTTAGTCACTGTGGGTCCTCTCTGGTGACACCACAGGAAGCAGAGGGAGACTGGGAATTGGGGAAGGCTTAGGGCTGAAAGATGTGGGATCTGGACAAAGGGAGGAATAGCAGGAGATCAACAGGAGGAATATTTCTCATTCTAGAAAATCCTGAGTGGGAAGGGGAAAGAGAAAAAAAGATTAGACCTGAAGCTGCAGGACTATATTTTTTAAGAGGTTACTCACTACTTTAGTTAGCAGAGAGACAGTGGTTAAGGGCACTGGCTTTGATGTCATACAGACCTAGGTTCACATTCTTATTAAGGCACTGTAGGAGCTAGGTGATCATGAAAAAACCACTGAGCCTCATCCAGTCTCAGATTTCTAACCTGAGAAGCAGTCATCAGTACCTTCCTCAAAGAGTTGTGCAGAGAAGTAAGTAAAAATTAACACATGGAGGGCCCTGAACAAGGGGCCTAGAATACAGTGAGGGTTCAACATGGGAAGATTTAAGATTTAAATACCTCTCTGCTACCAACAGTCAGGGATCATAATAAACAGCGTAGGCGAAGCCTGAGACTCTGGGAAGTTAGAAAACCCATCTCAACATACCTAATTTTCCCACACAAAGTTGTCTCAGAGCAGGCCTGACTCAGGACTGTGCCCAGTATCTGTGCCAGCACCCTGTTCACACCTGATGGAGCCACTCATCAGCTGAGGAGGGCTCTATGCCCCAGGAGTTGACTCTGTCTTCATCTGTCTTTAGGTCCTAGAGCCCAAAGACTAGCCCCCAGGGCCATGACTTTCAGTCAGCTTTCCCTTCCAACCCTGTGAAATGGCTGCTGCTTCAGCTCTCTGGCTGTCGGAGGCAGCTCGCTGGAGATGACAGCAGGCAGGTACAGTGATCAAAGCAGTGGCATATCCCTGCTGCCCCGGCTGCCCAAAACACCCAGACCCATCTTAGCCTTGTTGGGCAGCTTGTCAGTGTCAGAGACAAAGGGGAGGGGTACTTCCAACTCTCAGGCATTCTCTCCCATTATCTACGCTCTTACCTTTTCTGTTTTACTCTGGCGACTGAATCCATATCTCCTGCGGATCACAAAAAAGAGGGATTCAATTATGATTCAACATATCATATACATTTGGTCAAATGCATTTTAGTTGGACTTTGAAATGAAAACACCAAAGAGAATTTAGAATATCTGGTGAACAGAGGCAATGTTTGAAGTGCCTAATTCATGATCAGATTGCACTATTTTTTAATAAAGGCGAGCCATTCCATTTGTCATATAAATACTGTACCTGGGAACTCTCAGAGTTCTCTCTCAGTGCCATCATTACTCTCTGAATCAGGAACTGCATTTCTGATCCACAGCTTCCACTAAAAGCCTTAAAAATGTCTGTATAAACAAATGTTAATGCGTTTGCTCAAGCTAACCATGCTCCCTAAAGGCTATTTTATAACCTCCATTCCAGCCGATTTTTTTTATTTGTAATTATAACCCAAGTGTGATACTAATAACACTATATATACTTCATTCAGCCTTAAATTCAAGGAAATTCACAAATGCATTTTAATTTATTTTCAGGTTCTAGTTAATAACTATGCTTCTTTTCTTAAAGCAACTACAACAATGCAAAACCATTCAATCTTAAAACAAAAAAGCATAACGCAAAACACCCAAGCTCACTTACCTTTAAATAGTTTATAGGGAAATATAGTTACACGTAATCATGTAAGAAAGACAAATAAGGGGTTTCTGTGCTTGCCCTCACAGGCCTCGCTTGCTGGGTCGGCATGTGTTGGCCTCTTACCTGGCCTCAACCTCTCTTCACCCCATCCTTCCTCCCTATTCCTTATCCAGCACCCCACATGCCTGAGTAGCATTCATCAATAGCAGGTGTCTGTCCTCAGGAGAAACAGGGCTTCCTCAGCACTCTCACTGCTCTTCTCTTCTAAGGAGATAACAAGTTTAGCCCCACCTCCAGCGGCTCATCTTCCTCGCTCCTCTCCACCCACTGCCTCAACAGGGAGTTCTGCACATACCAGTTCTACTTTCCTACTCACCCCTCACAACTCAGCACTACAGTGACCTCCTCTCTAAAGCAGTCCCTATGTAGACACTGCCCCAGCTGACCCATTCTTGCAGTTGTACATGTTCCCTCACTTCCCAGAAAGTAACTGTCCATCTATCGTTTCGCCATGTCTGTATCCTTCTCCAGGAGGGCACTAATGCCATTTTCACATTTTGTGTTTGAATTATATGCTGAAGGAATAAATAAACCACAGAAAATGCAGAACTCAAAAAGTCAAAAGTATCACCTTGCAATAGGTTGTTCTATGACTGGGAGATCAAATCAAAAAGTCACTGTTAGTTCATGCGCCCCTTCATCAAAGCATAAATCTACAGGCCCAGAGCACAGCAGACAAAGGTTAAATTATGAGTATCCACAGAAACTCTGGAAAGGACCTTACAGCAGGAATTTGTGAATTATATTAATCAGTAACAATTACATCTTTGTATATACTAGAGAGGCTAGAAAACAAATAAAAAAAACTTTCCATATTCCCCTGCACTTTGGATTCTGAATACTGTTTAGTTTTTACCTATCTCTTTTTATCTCTTTTGGGAGTTCTGAATATGTAACAGCTAGAAAAGAGAGATGGAGGATATAAAAGATTCACTGTGCTGACGCAGATTACTGTAGAAACTTGGTTCAGGGACCAGCAGTTCTCACAGCGGCTTCGTAATTTGGCAGGAGTGGTATGGTTTCTTTGTCAGCAGTAACAGCCAGCTTCTCATTTCCATGAGCTGCTGGTTAGCTGCCCAAGTATGGACAGGATGCAGAAGTGGCATCCTGGGAGGCCCAGTTCTAAGGTGAAGCTGGGGAAGTGGCCCTGGCTTAGCTTAGATTCCAGCTCTCAAGCCCTCATATCTATCGTATCTATCATCAGTCCCTGCATGAGCTCTGGTTTACCTATCTTACTGAAGCCCTATGACACCAATAGTGATTTGGTTCTTCCCCCTGTTCATGCCCTAGATCTGGAGTCAAACACCTTCTCTCTCATCAAAAGGTGAGATGAAGCGGAAAACAGAAGCACTGACAACAGATGGGAGATCTGGATACCTAGGTGGGGCTGAGCAATTAAGAGGTTTCACAGTGGTGAGGAGGGTGTGTTGAGTAGGGTGAGTCCCAGAGAGAGCAATCCTTGACTGATTGGGGAAAGGAAGGTGCAGGGGTTAAGACTCCCCAGAAAGGGGTTGGGGGAGGGCTAGAGTAGGGGGAGAATATTATACAGGGAAAAGAGCTGAAAGGGGACCTTCTGAATGGGATCCTCCCTGGAATCAAAAGGTCATATTTAAAGGGATTTGAGAATTAAAAACTGTTGCAGCTAATGATATTGATGATTATGACTACACCTAGGAGTTGACATTCACTGTTTGCCTCACAGGACAAACTGTTGAAAGTCCTTCGTGTGTATGTGTGTGTGTGTGTATACACACACATGAAGGACTTTCAACTATACACACACACACAGTATATATAAGTCCTTTGTGTGTGTGTGTATATATATATATATACACACACACACACACGATATATATACACACACGTATATATGTATACATATATATGCATATATAACACGTAATATATATAGCAGCATATATATAAACCTATATATAAAAATGACTATCTGTAACACTATAAGTGTGTGTATGTTTGTGTGGGTACATATATATAGTGTTATGAAATCTTTACTTAATGAGGACAATCTTCACATAGTAGAGAATGAGCATTGAATAGAATCCTGAGGAAAGCGTCTGACAGCTGAAAAGGAGGGGAGTGGATTTCCCACAGAGGAAGGGTAAGAACAAGTTGAGGCTTTTAAGTTTTATCCAATTTGCTTTACTAGTTTTAGTAACCACTCTCTTCTTGTTCAATCTTAGCCCAAAAGACAAAGACTGGGGCTATCTTTCTAAAACCAAGAGCCAAATTCTCACTGGGGGCTCAAAGAATATTTATATAATGATAATGACATTTGGAGTCCAAAAGATCTCAGCTCAAGTTGCCATTGGGAGGCTCTTAATAGTTTTTAATAGTACAGATGAAGCAGAGCAAGCTATTCAAAAATTTTTCTTACTAATCTTTCTCAAAAAGGAGAATGAACTACTAATCAGAATGTTCTTTAAGTGTCCATATCTCTACCTCTCACAAAAAAATCACTCTCTCCTTATTGGAAAAGCTAAATCAGACAGCCATGACCAACAGGAACTAAGATAGGAATTGGGACACTATGTTCTTTCTTACAATCCAAATTTGAAAAAGTCAAGCTAGACTCTGGAATCAAAATGCACAGCCATCCTCAGGAAGCACACAGATGCTCTGATTTTACCTACCACCACATATGATAGCAACCACCACCTACACATGCAAAAGATGGCTTGAAACTGAGAATTTCAAAACAAGACGCTGAAATGTCAGCTTAGTCTCAGTAAACCATTACTGAATCTCTGATTCCTTTCACCCTCAGGGACACTTGAGCATCCACAAAAATGGAAATATGACAACACAACGGAACAGAAACCCACCCCCATCAAGACTGTGGCCTTGACTGGAAAGGCCCCACCACAGTGCCTGGAGTGGGCAACCCCATCCAGCTGCACCAGATCCCACACTCAGAAGGAACCCACACTTGGTTGTTGCGAAATTCTTTATAATTATTAATTAATAATTTTGAAGAAGAGGCCCTACTTTGTCCTTTTATAATGGGCTCTGCAAATTGCATAGCTGGTCTGGTGGTGCCTGACTGAGAAAGGGAGTTCAAGTCACAGCAGCAACTGGTGAGCTGTGGGGGAAGCCATGACACTGAATTTAGAGCCAGAACTAACAACTTCCTTTGAATGAGACAGGCTTGATTTCATTCTTAGGAAGAAAGGATCTGCCCCCACATTACCCTCTCAGAAACACACAAACAAAAATAAGTGGTGACTGCCATCCATTGAAAGATGGCATAATTAAACCAATTGAGCCAAATTTCCTTCTGGTTGTCTGCAATGCCTAGAAGGGAAGCCCTTCGAAGCTCACTCAGGGAGAAGCTAAAGGCAGTGCTCTTAGTTCTAGCCACCCAAAGAGGGTCAGGTTATGAGGCAGAGCAGCACACAGCACAAAGGAAGGAAGCACCAGGAGACATACTCACATCAAGGCATCAGCTACCCTGAGTAGAAAATGCAGGACATAAATGAACATTAATACCCCAGGAAAAAATCCAATGAGAAGTACTTCCTTGCATGTTTTTAAGGAAAAACTGAGGCTGTAAGAATTATTTTTAAACTTTTAGAGATGGTTTTTGGGAAGTGACAAAGCTACTTCTAAATTCATTTTTCTAGTCTGGACAAATTTTCACAGGAAACAAACTTTTATTCTAATATTTAAAGCAAAACTGATGTAACTGCTCTCAATTTTTTAGTATACCTAAAAATTTTAACAAATGGCAGAGACACAAAAGGCAGACCACCCAAAGTTTCCACAAATGCCCCCAAACAACCCAACTCTCTGAAAAGGGGAGAACCGGTCTTTGGTGCTAGAAATCTCAGTCTACAAACAGTAAACTCAATCAAGTGAATCAAGTTAATCCCATTAAACAATCAAAATTAGTTTTTCTTTTCAATAGTTTTATAAAATAGAAAATTCAGACTGGGTTGCACCCATTACCTGCCATATTCCAAAAGTGTAGCATGGATTCGAGATTCTTCATCAAGCAGCATCTCTGCTCCCTGCTGGCGTTTGTATTTCCGACGGGGCTTGTAAACATCCTAAGAAGTGGATGAGGCAGACAAGGTACTGAGTGAGAGAGCTACCCTCCTGACCAGCTGCTGGACGCACGCAGCCAGCCCACGGTTCGTCTTCTACTGCAGCAATGTACAGCTCTTCTGCAGGAGAATGGCAGGCACTTGGGGGTTCTCAGCCTGCTTTCAAGGAAAGAATCTACTCCTTTGACTTCAATGTTAGTAGCAAGCATTTCTACCTAATCTAGTTGTCAAATCTGTTTTACCTTGGTATTTTTTGTCTGAGACATCAGTTTGTCAAACATCAGTTTTATTTTACTTCCTACATGAGGGTTTGTGAAGAATAATGTTCTCATGTTTCTTTGGTAGTTTATATTTAGCCTTTCACTCCATTCAGATTTTCTTTTTGGTAGTGAAAAATAGGGATCTAACTTTTTTCCACTTTCTGAATGCAAAATGAATAGTGCCACTATTGTCAACAGTCTTTCCTGCCCCTGATTTGAAATGGCATTCATAGACAAGAGCCAGTGACTCCTCTCAACCCCTTTGGCTGTACGAGTCTCTATCTAGTCTCCATTGTCTTTCCCCACATTTCCTGGCTATTCCTACACATTTTCTCCTCCAAATGAATTTTAGTATCAGCCTGTCATGTTTATAATGTCAAACCTGGATGTTTAATAGCATCACACCAAATTTACACATTCCTTTGAGAAGAACCAACACCTTTACGATACTGAATCTTGCTTGAGAAGCAAAGCTTATTTCGCCACTCAAATGTTTTTTTATTCCTTATTAAGACCTTCCAGAAAAAATACAATTTGTCAGTTACTATATATCCAGATCTTCTTTCTACTATACAGAGGTGCAAACCAGAGGAACAATCACAAATAAGTTTATATATATATATATAAAACAATCGTGTGTGTGTGTTGAGTGTGATATCTACCTACTCAGAATTCTTTAAAAAAAATTCTTTAAAAAAATCCTTAGTCAAGATTTCAATTCTTTGAATCTAAAACCAGAAAATTAGATATCAAATAATTTTTATAAAAGCAATATGAATTTATCCTTAGAAAACTGAAAATGCACTATAAACTTCCACTAATTTTTTAAATTAGAATATGATTTAGTTATAAATATCACAACAAATGTAGATTATCTTGTGTAGGACACATTCTGACCCTATAAACGTCTGTGTGTGTGTCCTAAACAAAACACAGAGCATGTAAGAGATGCTTCATGTACAGCTTTACTCCCACATGACCTGACTTGTCAATCTACAAGTGAATGTCTTTCTTGACTGCCAACTAGCCATCAAATAATACCATAGTAATATTTGCTCAGGGCTCCAGGTACAAGTTGGCAGCTGTTTACACAAACAAGGTAATCTAGTTGCTTCTCCATTACCACAATCCACCACATCTAGCTTCCACCTCCACCAGACAGCATCAGGGCAAGCATTACTGTGTTGTTTCTCTGGTGGCATTTTTATTCAATTAGCACTGCTACCCTTTGATAATTCTAGCTAACTTAATTTTTATTATGAAAAATTTCTTTCTGAAACACAGACTATAATAATGCCAAAAATTTTGTAGAAAAGGGATGGACATGGTTGGAAAAAATGCCGCTAGATTCTTCTTACAATTTGTTTCCACAAATACTCCCTAGTTTTCTGCTAGTGTCTACATGAATAAGAGGCTCTAAATAGCATAAAATGGATTTATGGGGAAATGAAAAATAGAATGAACCCATATGATGTCAGTTACTATGTACAATTTAATTTCCTCTGAGCTCTATCTACAGTTACAGCAGCACTATATAATTGAGCTTAACTGCTATCTTCCTTAGTTACCAATGATAGAGTCAATGACCCAAGACAGAAATTGGATTCTTCTAAAAATGGAATGACTCCAAAACAATAGCAAGTTGAAACCAACAGTACAAGGACCTTTTATTCTGCCAAACAATGAGAATCTTGACCTTTGCATAATTACTCCTTATACTTTCAAACCCTCATATACCTATCACTTTTGGCAGATTATAACTATACTACAAGGCAGAGGCAAGCAGGTGCTATTACCTCCACTTTATTACTAAGCCGCAGAGAGTGAGTCATTTCTCTAGACTCACTAGGAGGGTGTCAGGCCCAGCCCTCTGCGCCCTGGCTCTTTGTCCTCAGGCTTTCCTGTTGCACTACCTTACTCCTGGTGGACATTCTAGTCACCAGTCATTTCAGTGGAACCCTCCTAGGAGCCTCACTATACAATTTTTTTAAAGATTTATTTATTTATACATACAGAACTGGGTACAGGCCATAGGTGCAGAGAGGTGAGAAGATTCACCAGAGACAGAGTGGGGAGCAGAACAGGCAGATCGTAGAAGTACACTGCTGAGGGGAGCAGTGGGCGGGTCAGGAGAGGTCTTCCATGCCATGTGGATCACCTCCGGGGCAGGCAGGAATCGGACTCATGCTGCAGTGGCTTTAGCTTCTTGGTGCTGTGCTTTAACCCGCTGCACCACCAGGGAGGGCCCTCACTATACAATCTAAGGCAGTTATCTGGATTATTGCAATGATTTGATTAATGAGGATCCAAATGACAACTAGAAAAAACCTCCGCTATCACCCCTTTAACTTATCAGCATTAGGATGACTAGCTAGTTGCATGATCTTGGCAAAGGCAGTTCCCCTCAACAGGACTATTTCTTTATCTGACAAATGAGTGTTGAACTAATAGGTACTGAAGGATACTCCTAGTGACTTACCCTTGGTGTTCTTTTAATTCTGCAAAGTCACAGACTTGGTAACACAATTCTATCAGTAATGTAAAGCCTGAGATTAATAAAAGAGAAACACCTCATGCTTTCTGCATTACTGAGCTCTTAAAAAGGTATGCAGACTCAACTTGTTTTTTGTTATCAGCAATGGGAACAACAGAAACAGCTACCACGTACTGAATGCTGTATGTCCGGGCAGATCCTGCTCTCATGGGTGCTGCCCATTTGCTATTTATACTTCTGAAGCGTTGTTATCCTTATTCCATGTATACAGATGATGAATCAGGCACCGAAGTTAAATAACTTGCCCATAGTTACAATGGAACTAAGTCACAGAGACAGAATGACTCCAGAACTGGGACTCTAGCACTCTACAAGATGTTTTATCCCTCTACTTTGATCACTCTTCATGGTGGGCTCTAATCCTGTATTCATCAGCTGCTGAAAGGCACACGAGTGGGGTTAAACAAGGAAGGTGCCTCTCTTATAAAGCAGAGAACTCTTGTTTGTGTGAGAATCACAGATCCCTCCTTCACAAATCTGGTTATGAGTGAGATTAACCTGCAGGAAGAATTCCTGAGTCACATTCCAGAAGATGGGGGAAGAGCAGTGTAGGGCGCAGCCACAGCATTGCCTACAGCCAAGCCCTGCTCCCTGGCTCCTTGTGACTACTCTGTGAGCTAATAGAGCAGGCAGTGCAACCGCCACTGCCAATTTGACATTCTCTACTCAAAAGCTCCCACGGGTCAGACTTCACCCTGTGCAGTAGAAGTTGACATTCTCCAGTAGTTTCCACAGACCTTAACATCTCCTCACAGCATTTAATAGCACAAACCCAACTCTAATAGCTATCCCAGCCCAGGAGTTCTGTGAACAAACTTACTTTCCACCTAAATAGGGCCACCAAAAACAATATCCAGAGATCCCACAAGAAAAAGTTGTTAAGTGGAACAGTTTGCTGTTTTATTCTCAAATTAATGGAACAACAAAACAATGTCTCTGGGTACTGAGTGGAGGACATGACATAGGAGTGAGAGATGGCAATCTTTTCTGTAGAGATGAGCATGTCTATAGATAGGAAAGCTAGCTAGGGAGAGTTTTCTCCAAGGGCACTCTCAAACCTCGTTCCTTTTCTATTCTCCTATATGAATTTTGCTCTGTAGGCATGTTTCTTTGAGGTTCTTTGAGGTTTAGCGTAACTACTTCAGATCTCCTTGAGTCTGTACCAAACAATATATCTTTGTGGGTAAGAAAAAGATTTCTGTGTTATGTAAATGAGCCGAAGATGACTTCTATAAGTTGACCCCTAGGTTTATTTCTTCACAGCAGGCTGCTACTAGCCTGCTGCTAGCACCAAACTCAAATTTTTTACACAACAAATGATTTCAAACATGACCCAAACTGGCAGACTTTTACTCATTTACAGACTTGATGAAAACTGCATTTAACATTTGCTAGCCAGCCAGGGCTGCTGGTGCCCTGAAGATCTCTAACCCAGAAACTCCCTGCTCTCTGCTGAACAACAAAGCTGAGGTATGTGAAGCCCCACTGTGATACCATGGGAGTTTCACTTCCTCTCTTCCCTTTCTGGATGATGCCTCTTTTGTCTAAGCCTTTGGATGGTCCCTGCTGTAGAGCTCTTTACCCTGAAAACAAATATGTCAAAGCATCCCCCAAAGAAAGCCCATGCATGCTTCTGCCAAGCACAGCCACATCTTTTACTTGATGAGCCCCCAATTCCCTTCCAGCTGAAGGTCACTGCTTTCCCCCTCAGCTCCAGATGTCAGTTTGGCACACAGTGTGTCTTAGCTGTAGTGGTGACTGAATGCATGCAGCCAAACAGACAACCTGGGTCGAGTTACTTTAACCTTTGGCTTTCCACCTGTAAAATAGGTATAAGAGGAGGTGCGAGGACTAACTTACTAATACACTCAACATTACAGACACAGAGTAAGAGCTAGGGCATAGGATTTTTTATATGCATATTATATATATATATTACTACCAATAAAGTGTACTAATATTGTTTTATGCATGTTCTCCTATACAAGTTTTATATGGTAGGTGAAAAGGGTGTCCTTGGAGCATCAACTAAGGAAAAACATGCTGGAATAATTTTAAATGGCATGATGTATCTTGGGTGATTTAATTCACCAGTTCAACAAAGCATTTCCTTTCAACTAGGCTAGAAGTTCTAAGAAATCTTTTGTTGTGTTTGCTCTATTTTCTATTCTCATCCAAAATTCTAAATATTAGCAAAAAATGCTCAATAAATAGTAAATGCATCTATGGGTCCTCTGACCTCATTGCACAGGACAGATACTTCACTATTACAGAAGGCTGGCAGCTCAGAAAAGGAGACAGTGAACTGTGTAACAGCATATCAAGTAAGACAAATGAACCATTATAACTATGATGCAAAAGCTGAAGGTGGTTAAAGGTGGTCAGCCCTTCTTGGTGGTAATAGTATCACTTTCCTCTGTCCTTTGAAAATACCACCTCCTTCTAGCAGGCCTTCTATAAAGCAGCTAGCTATTCTGTAAAAAGGTAATATGCAGAAGTCAAGGAAATAACACATTTCAGAGGAGAAACTAACTTGTTGAGAATAATTCCCAGGCAGAAATAATGAGACCAAGACAAAAAGTGACCATCCAAAGTGATGAGCTCAAAAGTGAAAGTTCTAAATTGTCTGTTTTACAAGCTGGACAGTGAGGTACTGACACTCTCAGTATGACCTGTGACCCAATTCTACTTTGTGGAATGCCTTATAACTAAGTAATTAAGATAAAATAAATGAAATTTGAAGATGTCCTACATAATGGCTAGAAGAAAAAAAAAAAAAAGACATAACTAAGCTAGTTAAATTAATACCACAAATGAATAACCTAGTCACTAAAAATGCTATGGAAGTATGTTCATGGGCATGGAGAAAGCACCTTGACTATACTGTTGAGCAAAACAAGCAAGCAACAAACAGTACAGAGCTGTGTTTTGTGATCTCAAATTCTTTATATTGACAGACTTAATTTTTTTCCTGTCTGGAGTATCAGTGCTTAGCTCTAGCTGCTGATATCATAAGTGGTTTAGACTTTGTACTTTTTTTCCATTTCCTAATGTCACATCATTATTACTACAGTGTAAGTACAGAAGGGGAAAAAAGCTTTTTTAAAACAAAACATCATATGCCAAAAAGCCAAATAAATGTGCTAATAACCAAGGACAAATGCAAAGAACTGGCAAAATCCTCTAAAGATGGCTAAGGCCACAAATAAGCTAAATATTTTTAAAACTATTGAAAATGTTTGCTATTTAGCATTTTAAAAAAAGGTTCTTTCTAAGCAATACTAGAAAAGATATGCTGGTTGATACATAATGGTGCCAGTAAGAGATGAAACAAGAAACATAACAGACTGCACGAGGCATCCATTCTGCAGCTGGACAGCAGGATCCATCTGTGGTCTTCAAACAGGAAAGTCAGAGCAGATGTCACCAGAGGGGTCTCAGGATGGCAGGGAGGGGAAGAGTGTCCATCCACTCTGATTACATTTAGTCTCTGAGAGTCAGGTGAATAACAATTCTGAGTCCTCAAGTAAGTCATGAACATGAGTACAAAACTAATGCCAGAAATATGTGGGAAATCAATGACCAGGTGAAAGTGAGAAAACTGGAAAAGCAACAACACCTGCTGTGTTTGTGGCATCAGATGTAAAATTAAAACCTGGCTGCCTCCTCTTAGCTCTACAACTATATGGGGAATTTATTGACCTGTCTGAGCTTCAACTTCCTGGTTTATAAAAAGGAAACAACAACATATAACTCCATGACTGCTGGAGAAGACTAAACAAGATAAAGCCTACAAAATGTCCAATTTGGTGCTGAGCACAGGGAAGGCACTCAGGCAGTATCTGGCAGCTATCTGTGTACTTTCTATAATGCTGGTTTAGAAACCACACACCTATCTGTTGATCTTATCTTTACCTCTACTTTACCATTCACAATTAAAATGTGGAATTTTGGACTCATCAATAAGGAACAGGAAAGAAACACTGATAAGACAACTAAAGGACAGGATGGGAAAAAGGGTGGAAGAAGAAGAGAAACCCTGTGAACCAAATGCTTGCAAGAGTCATAGCCCTTGGTCATTTAGGAAAGATTTTATTCCCTTTGCTAAGGGACAAGTCTTTTGATATCACTAGAAATAAGTGAAATTAGAGCTCCCCACACAAAACTTAGAAGCTACTCTGCCTCCCCAACGCCATGTGGGGTGGATGGTCACCTCAATTTACCATCTCCAGCTCACTATCTGTTCTTTGGACCTATTTAAAGTTTACCAGCTACTAGCTGACATGAGAAGAGGTTTTGAATCTTTTTCTCTTAAAACGGAAACTAACAAAAATCCAGGGCAGTGGCTGTAGCAAGTTCTACCCATGAATACTGGGTCATGGTACTGAGCACAAGAGGCAGGCAGGCATCATCCTCACTTCCAAGGTCAGCTCCTGGGCAACCCCAGCAGAGGGACACCCCAGGGAGCATTCTTCTGATTAAATCAAAATCCCACTGAGATACTATGAGCCTACTTCTTGTACAGAAGAACCGGCATAGAGGAACTTACCGAAAGATCAATCACTGTCTTGATGGCTTTTTCTTTTCTCTTCATGAAGTCCTCATCCTGCAAGACAAAATATGGGGTTAACAGAGTGTGTGTGAAGACAGAAACTCAATGAACTGCTCAGAAATATGACTTATAATTTGAATTCTCATAACACTGCCTGAGAAAGTCTCAATTTTCTACCAAATTAGTGTATATTTTTCATGGGAAAAAGCTAGGACCTCTATGGAAGGCTCCAAAACAAGTCTCTATCTAGTCAGTAAGAAAAAGGGGGACCAGAAAATGTGATGCTGAAAGCAAGGGTTCTCATTCCAAACCCCAAACTCTGAAATTGCGAGCATGGTACCTAACCTTGAAGCGTCAAGTCTCAGTTTTTCCATGTGTAAAACAAGACCACACCTATGTCAAGGGATAAGCCTCATAAGGATTAAAAAGTAAATGTGCTTGAACTGGAAGGTAGTAACTATTTCATAGCTATCAGCTGTTGCTGTTGTTGCAATTATTTTATTATTATTATTTTTTAAAAGATTTATTGATTTATTCATACAGAACTGGGATACAGGCCAGAGATGCAGAGGGTGAGAGGATTCACCAGGGACAGAGTGGGGAGCAGAACAGGCAGATCGACGAAGTACACTGCTGAGGGGAGCAGCGGGCGGGTCAGGAGAGGTCTGCCACGCCATGTGGATCTCCTCCGGGGCAGGCGGGGATCGAACTCATGAGGAAGTGGCTTAAGCTTCTTAGTGCTGTGCTTTAACCCGCTGCGCCACCAGGGAGGGCCCTGTTGCAATTATTATTAAGCTTACTCCAGGAATATCCTAGGAAAGTGGTCTTTCAAAGAGTTTTGCATGGCTAAATTAAACTCTTGTAATTTAGTAAAAGATCTGAATGAAATAACAAAATTGAGAGAAAAACACAAAAACCGTAGGTTTTCACACTCAGTACCCAGTTAAAGAGGCAGCTCTACAATGCACCAGGAGGCCCACTTTCAACGCTGACCGGGGAGAGGCAGAGGTGCTAAGAAGTGGGGCTGGACTGTAATGGAGCCTGAGTTCACGCCACTCCTTCATGGACGTCTCTAAATGCACGCTCAGCTTCTTAGCTGCAAGAGAAAAGCAGAACACTGACCTCAGGGAGACTGTAGGTTTTCTGGAACTGGGATATAGAGTAGGAGCGGATGTAGTCACCCATCTCTTCTTTAGTTTCTATAGCTCGCTTCACCAGCCACTGGGGAAGAAAGTTAAGAAATAAGAGTTGAGAGGGTAGAAATACCACTGAATTGGAGGCCAACTCCGAGATGGCACAAGCTGTGAACCCAAATCATCACACTTGAACTGATGAGATGCTGAGAAACTATCAACACAGGTTGCTTCCCTGTGTCCGGTCAGCATCTGAGGTCCAGTGAGACGTGGAGCAGAGCAGCTGTCGAGAGCGTTAAAGCCTCACTGCAGACCCTAGGTCTCAGTTTCCCTCGCTGTGTAAAGCGGAGGTGCGGATGTTAGTCTCTCTCATGTCAGATCATATGAAATCACAAGTACTACAGTGCTTTGTAATACCTGATAACACACAACACAAATTAGTCTTTCCCTGCAACTTCCTGGTTCTACTAGCAGCAGATCTTAATGTAATTCTTTAATTTTCATGTAAGTAGTAGGCTTCATGTATACAACATTCTAATGCAGTTCCTGTGTAAACTACATGATGACCACCAACAAAAGTCTAGTTTCCATTCACCACCATGCAAGTGACACCTTTATCTGACGTATCTGTCTCCATCTTCCTTCCCCTCTGGTAATCACCGTTTTGTTTTCATAATCTACGGCTGCTTTTTTTTTCCTTTATGTTCCACATGAATGAAATCACAGCTGTTTGTCCACCTGACTTATTTCAGTTAGCACAATACCCTCCAGATTCATCCATCTATGTTATTTCAATTGGCAAGACTTCATTTTTTAAAAAGGTTTATTTATTTATGCGTACAGAACTGGGGTACAGGCCAAAGGTGCAGGGGCAGTGAGAGGATTCACCAGAGACAGAGTGGGGAACAGAACAGGCTGACTGATGAAGCACACTGCTGAGGGGAGCAGCGGGCAGGCCAGGAGAGGTCTGCTGCACCATGTGGGTCACCTCCCTGGCTGGGATCGAACTCATGCTGAAGTGGCTTTAGCTTCTTAGTGCTGTGCTTTAACCCACTGCACCACCAGGGAGGGCAAGATTTTGTTTTTTAATAACTGAACAGCATCCCATTATGTATACAGTCAAGTGTTAATTCACTTAATTCACTTTTGTAATTTGGATTACAAAAGTGGACTGAGAAAAGCCACAAAACTGGAGTCAGAACTTGGAGGTTCCTGGACCAACGTATGACGGTGGTTCCAATAGGCTGGCCCACATGGCCTGGGTGAGGCGCAGGCCACATCAGCTATCTTTGTGCAACCACACTCTATGATGTCTGCACAGTGACAAAATCACCCAAGGATTGAATTTTCAGGATCTGCTCCCATTGTTAAAAGATGCATGACTGTAACTTAACACATATCCTTTATCTACTCATCCACTGATAGGCAACTAAGTTTATAAATCTTGGCTATTATAAGGTGCCTCATTAGCGCAGTAGGTAGTGCGTCAGTCTCATAAATCTTGGCTATTATAAACAATGCAGCAATGAATATAGTGTTGATGTATCTTTCTGAGTAAGTGTTTCTGTATTCTTTGGATAAATTCCCAGAACGAAATACCTGGATAACATGGCACTTCTCTTCTTAAATGTTTGGGGTGTCTTCATACTGTCTTCCCTAATTGTAATGCCACTTTAATGTAACTCTTTCTGTACTGCTTGTACTACAGACCGTAAAAAGGATCTGGAGAGAAATACTGAGGACACCTAGTTAATCCCTTATTGGGTATATGACAAAAATCTCTTAAAGATTCACATAAAAACAGGGGTATTATACAGCCTAGGTTTGGGTAAGCTCAGCATTCAAAACTCTCTCTAAATACGCATAATTTTATAAGGAAATTGATACTGGCTGTGCTTTACAGAACCAAAAGCTCAGAGAGCCACAAAACTGGAGTCAGAACTTGGAGGTTCCTCTATAGGAAAGTAGACAGATGGGTTTATGAACTGTTTCCCAATTCTACGGGCTGACATACAGAAGTGGTTTCTCATAAAACTAGGCAATTAAAACACATACACACACCAAAACCCTGTAACCTGTAGATGATCCAGGTCCTCTGTGACTACAAATGCAAAATACAAAAACTGACTTAGCCTCTGCTTCCTGCCTCTACATTCATTTCCTTTATTACTAAAGAGCATGAAGGAGGGGGTGCCATCTGCCAGGGCTGCCATTCTCTCTCCTGACAGCCCTGTACCAGCTTAGGTTTGGGAGAGTAGTTGCATTTCCCTGAAAGGGCAGCTACTCTTGGAAAGGTTTAGCTACCTAGGAAGGAGAGACATGGTACACAGCCTGGTGCTCTGGCAGGGAGGGAAGAAACGCTCCCAGAGGGCAGCCAGCTCAAGGAAAGGACATATTTAGAAAGTAACTGCCCAGAATAAGGATGGCAGCATATACTGTGTGAGGACCATTCTTTTGTTGTTAGGATCTTTCCCTTATTTTCACCCCATTCTACTTTGAAACAATGACATTGGGCAAGGACTAAAATTCAGAAGTAGGGGCAGAAGGTCAGACAGAACCACTGTGGCTACCACCCACCCCTCTACTCCTGCACCACAGGTCAGGAGGACAACAAAGGAGGTTGACTCATTGTCGACTCAATTCAGTGTTGCTGTTGCTTATATTTGGATTGGGAGACCCAGTTTCTGGCCTTTGGTCCTTGTTTCCTTTTCAGATCTGCCGTGTGAACGAGAGCTGCACTGAGTTACTACTGGACCCTGGAGAGTGTGATTGGATAAGGAAGGTGAAGCACAGGATTCCCTTCAAAACTCAGTCACACAACTGCAGGTTCTGCATGAAGGACAGGAACTGCCCTCTCAGATGATCATGCTTTGCCACAAGTACCTATACTTGAGAAAAACACCTGCTGTCACAGGATTTATACGTCCATCAAGGGAGAAAGAGCTATGACCCAGAACATGCACAGTTACTGCACATGACACCCGTTTTTCTCTTGACTGGCTTTCAGAGATTGTTACCAAAGCTTTCATAAATGGTAAGAAGATGGGTGAAAAGCCTCTAAAATCATACAAGACAACTAGTCCAATGGTTCTCAACTGCGGGCCTATGACTGTTTACTGACTTCCAGCAAAACACAAAGAAACTACAGGCATGTAGTCAGGTTTTCATAATGCTGAATGTATTCAATTCAATTTGAAGGACCATTCCTTATTTTGAGATTGGGAATTAAATGGTCTTTCTCTTAGAAAGTAACAGAAAACATGATAGTAATCACTTTTTAAAATATCCCTGTTGAAATAAAGGTGGCAACCAAAGGCCAACCCCCATTCTAGCTGTAAAATTTCACAGGTCTGAGACATGAAGAAATCTGGTAACTGCTGACTGAGGTTCTCAGGCCCTCCAGCATTCCACTCAACATGGAACACTCCCACTCAAAATGCCCCCACACCTCCAGAAGATCACCTTCTCCATCACCTACTCATAGCTAGACTAGATGTTTTGCCCCCAAAGTTCTAGCACAGGGCGAGTAAAGTCTAATCCCTAGACAGCCAGGCTTTAAGGGGTGTTACACATTCAGCAATAACCAACCAGGGTCCCCACTTCCTGTTTTCACAAAAATGGATCAGATACCACCTCCCTGCTTCTGGTCAAAGTACAACCAACATACAAATCAAATTCTGAGTTAACGTCTCAATCTCACACTGAAAAATTTCATGCTATTTGATTTGAAGTTGAGTGTGAGGGAACAATCCCAGAATGGGTAATAACAGCAACAAAAACTGTATGTATGTAACACATAAAAAATAAACTTACTAAAATGTCCATCTATCAGCTACATGCACGCACATTAACTTACTTAGTTCTCATCCTATCAAGGAGGTACTGTTATATTTTCCTTTGAACAGATGAGGGGTCATGTCCTCTGCCCAAGGTTGCACACTGGAAAGTGGGACAGTCAAGACTTGAATATAGGAAGTCTCCAGAATTCATGCTCTTAAAATCTATATAATCTTATCAAAGAATTGGAAAACGTTTCTAGCAAGGACTGTGCAGCTTTCTTCTTGGTGGCTTCATGAATGGTGGAATGGTGACAGGAAGTTTAGACTGGAATCTTTGCTTCTCCACTCACCAGTTCTTTACCCTTAAGCAAATCAACTACCATTTTGGAGATACTTTCCTCACATATAAGACTGGGACTATTTTTTGAAGAACTCTATTAGGATCAGATGTAAAGTACCGCACCAAGGCAAGCAACAAGGGTGAATTCCTTTTCTTTTCTTTTTTTATATTTATTTATGCACACAGAACTGGGGTACAGGCCAGAGATGCAGGGGCAGTGAGAGGCTTCACCAGAGACAGCATGAAGAGCAGAAAAGGCAGATTGATGAAGCAGACTGCTGAGGGGAGCAGCGGGAGGGTCAGGAGAAGTCTGCCGCGCCATGTGGTCACCTCCCAGGGCGGGGACCCAACTCATGCTGAAATGAGGGCCCCCTTCTCTTTTCAAGTTGCCTGAAAAGCTCAGACACAAGCTGTACAGCATAAGCCACTTAATCAGAGCCAACACAGAGAAAAGGCTCCCCTTGGACATTTAATCATCAAATAAGGACTGAATGGCTAACATTCTGAAAATGCTGGACACAACAGTGCACAAAATCAGTCATGGGGCCTGTGCCTGGAGCTTACCATCTGCTGAGAGAGATGGATAAGCACACACTTGAACGTCTCTGATCACAAACTACAGTAAGGAAGATTCCCAGAAGAGAATGCAGCCATATGAGTAAATACAGCAAAAGACCTGCCCTAGAAGAGTGGTTTAAGGGGAGCATTCTCAACGAGGTTTGGTGGAACTGAGACCTAAAAAGAATGTGAAGCAAGCAGCTAAAGGGAGCGGAGAAGAACTTTTAACCTGAGGGAAAGTCCCTGGGAAAAGAAGTAGCACAAGTAAATCTGAAAGAAAGATGGGTTACAACAGAAAGAACAAGGACAAGCAAGGAGTAAAAGCTGCCTAGGTCAGAAGGGTCCAAAGCTTGGAGGGGTGGGGGAGGACACGTGGAATAGTATCTTTACTAAAAGAGCAATAAGAAGGAACTAATGGGACTACTTCATGACAGGTGACAGTGTGAGACTCAGGCAGAAGACATTCCCCGATGCCTTTTAAAGGTGGCACTAGGAAATGTCACTGTGTTCTGCTGCCATCAAATCCAGAGATCCAGGGTCTAGGCCAGATGGCGCAGGAGTCAGAACCACTACAGGAATTCTCATATTCAGAGGCCAAAACACCACACTGAGGACAAGAAACCACAAGAGGCTCTCACCTGAACAACAGGAAATATGTGAATAAAATCCATCCCCTGGATCTGGTGGGGCTCCAGCTGATGTGGACATTTCATCCTTGGCAGGACTGAGACAATTTTTTCTGATAGAGCTCTGTCAGGAGAAGACAACAAGTAGAGGTTGAGAATACACATAGTGGCCTTAACATGTCTCCAGTCTAGGCAGAGGTCCAGAAGAGTCAAAGGTTTCTCAGTGCCAGAATCATGACCAAATTTCTCGTGGCTAACTACAAAATGAAAAAAAATTAGCACAATTTAGGGGTGTGTACACATAGGCACAAAACTGCCTTCACCCTTTAAATATGCTCTTTTTACTGGATTTTCTTTATGAAATTATGGTGATGGGAGAGGCAGTGGTTGTTATTTCTAACACCTTTATATAGAAAAAGTTATCAGTCCACCAATTTCTTAATTTAAATAGGATTTAGACAACAAATAATTATCTGACACTGTGCCAGCCAGCTTCCCAGAATATTAAAGCAAAACATGGGAGCTCATTCTCAAGAGAAACATTTAGAGTTCTCTTCTCTAGTGCAAAACTCTTTTTTTTTTTTTTTTAAAGATTTATTTATTTGTGCATACAGAACTGGGGTACAGG